TGTATTCATTACTATTCATTATATACTACTGTGTAATTTACTCATAACAAATGTGTAATGTACTCATTTTGCAAAATAAGAGTTACTATGGGTATATAAAGCTAAATACGAGTGACAAGTGCGAACAGCATTATAAAAAAAGTACAAAAACAATCAAGTTTGAAGTAGAATACAATCGAGTATGGATACCATAAATAGGACAACTGATAAATAAATTAATTTATACTGTTCTTTCTGGCCAGCCGAGAGTATCACCATGGAAACCTGTGTTAATACAAATCCACTACTTGATCTCAGGAGCAAACATCCAGGCATTTTCACCACCTGGCAACCATCTCCATTGAAAGGAAAGGCTGAAAACTTTCAAAAAAACTGTGCTTTGGGCTAGTTGTTGAGACTTCCATGAACAGTTTAACAAGACCCCTACACGCACATACAACATGTATAAATTTAGTTGCTCAGAATTACATTAAACTTGGGTTTGTGTGTTTTCTAGCTTAAGCTGTTTTCACCAGCTCTTTACCTGCATTCCACAGCAGCTCGCACAGAGTCCTTAGAAATACATAGTACAGTGGTATGCATCTTAGCAACATAGAACATTCTGTGACCGACTTCTGACCCTGAGGATACCTAAAAATTCAGTTGCATAATATACCCAAGCTTCAGGCCCACTGGTTGCTTGGCTACCGTGAATCTCTTGGGCAAATTCCCAAGTTTCAGGCTCACTGGTTGCTTGGCTACCGTGAATCTCTTGGGCAAATTCCCAAGTTTCAGGCTCACTGGTTGCTTAGTTACCATCAATCTTTTCTGCTAATTGATCAGCTTTGATACACTTCTTTGTAGTCATCTATGTTACCTTTGAACATGTGTGTACAATTGTCATTCATACACACATAAAGCAAGGCAGAATATAATTTATATTAATCTAATTGGTAGTACACTCTGATTAACAAATGTATATATTCACCTTGTGATCATCCCACTTCTTCACTTTCTATCAATAGTGTGTTTTCAGTAATGTAGTTTTTGAAAACCAGAACTGGTGGGAAATCATGCACTGTAATATCATAAACTGTCCATAACACATAGTGTCCTCACTGATTTGTTTATTTCACTAGAGATATGAATAAGAAACTCAAGGATGACAAGGACATGCATGAAGCATCAAAACAGGTGAGTTATTCACATGACTTGACATTAATTGGTCACTTGAATCGTGTGACTTTCTGAGCTTGAAATTGATTGGTTGCTTAAATCATGTGACTATGTGAGCTTGACATTGATTGGTCACTTGAACCATGTGACTATCGGTATGTGAGCTTGACATTGATTGGTCACTTAAATCATGTCACTGTGTGAGCTTGACATTGATTGGTCATTAAAATCTTGTATTAAACTATGTGAGCAGAGAAAACTCATGAATATATAATTTAATTATTAAGACTCATCTCTGTTTACATTTTCAATGCCAAGTTATTAATAATTGTTATTGTCTACTTCATTCCCTTTTTCTTACAATTTTCATGTCTCAGTCATTTGAGATTGCTGAGGTGAACACAATTTCATTTTATTTTTTGCTTTCACATCCCGGTGTTCGAGAATTGGTTAAAAAAATTTGTTTATACTTAGCTGAATGATTAAAGAGTAGCTGATATTGTACAAGATGTAGTGAAAAGATATGGAAGAATGATCATCAATTGTTGCCACTTGATGTTGGAAAAATCATCATGGCTCAAAAATTGTCAAACCATGGAATTTATAGATGCAAGAAACTTAATGAGATGGTTCAGTCTATTAAACCCAGACAAAAAATTTATTCATATTTCTGGTCATGGCAGAATTTAAAAAAAATAACAAATAAAGGAATAATCAATTGAAAAATTAGAAATTTTAACAATTTTTTTAAAATGAAAAATGGAAAAAAATAAAAACGTATGCGCTCATCAATTTTGACAAACAAATTGACCAGAAACATGTTTCTGTTTATTTTTTGGACATAATAATTCACATACATTGTTTGTTTTCATTAAATGACTTAAGGATCATTCTTCCTAAATTGTCTACATGCTTGCCCCATTATTGTTCATCATTATTTTGTTTTTTTGGGGGGAAACCATGTCATTTCAGCATGTATAGAAGCGTAACTGAAACTAGCTTGAATTGCGTATAGACCACTTTCCCAGAAGTCAAAGATACAGCGTTTTGCATGTTCACGCGAACTAGAAATGGAGTGTAACATAAACATGCATACATGATGTTGTGTTTGTTTATGTACCAATCAAAATCACAAAAATAAATTCCTTGTATCAAATACCAGCAGACTGACATGTTTGCATTTGCCGTCATGATAAGAGCAGGTGTCTTTTTAAATCCCATCTTGATACATCTGGAAAAGTGGTCTATTATAGTTATGTATGTTGCATGGTATGTATATCTTGTGATGCTAAACTCTGTTTACTTTCACTTTTATTCAAATAATATGCATGTAAATCATTGTATGTTATATTTAGAAGTTTGCATTCAAGACCAAATATGGCATTTTTCAGGATTTTAATTGTGTTTGTATTTATTGAAATTATGTTTCGGACTTGTGACAGGCAAACCGGAAATGACCTTTTTTAAGGGCTACACGAAAATCACTATAAATTCTGGAGTTGAATTCATAGAAGTACTTTCCGGCATTGTTACTGTAATAACCAGACACATTTCTTCAAACTGCTTTGAAAACTCAGATTTACAGGTCTTGCTTGCCAACTTTTAAACTAAAATTTATTTAATCTAAGATCTTCAATGGTCAAAATAAATAATTACAGCTTTCACATGAATGCATGTGCCATAAGGTTGCCATACAAAAACATAATTACATATAAATAATTCCCTCATCTTGTTATAAATTTTTGAATTCACATAATCTTGGAGCAACGATATTGTGTTCAATTAATGCTAGGCTTCACCGCCACTCCCGTAAAATATGTAATTTAACAGCAAGCTGAATAGATGTAACGATAATAGGCATTGTGCATGTTTTAAATTAACATGATGTATGAAATCATCTTTTAGTATAAAAGTATGAAAAATTTCTTTAAGTCTAAATTGTTCGTATGCGCTATGCTATGCTATAGTGATCAGTTTGTCAGTAATTTACAGAAAACTCTACATTTTACTTAATATACGCATAATGGAATTGGAATATTATGTGAAGCTATATATAATTTTCTTAATTGATTCAAGTTATTAGTGTGTATTGATAGATTCTGACATAATAGTATGAAATCATTATTTAGTATAAAAGTATGAAAATTTCTTTTAGTCTAAATTATTGATATGTTCTATGCTATGCTATAGTGATCAGTTTGTCAGTAATTTACCAAAAACAATACACTGGGATTTGACGATTATTCACCCTACCACCTTTGATGTCTTTATTATAATAATCTGATTACTATCCCTAAACTTAAGGAAGGAGGGGTGATAAAATGATCAATGAAGCTATATATCTATTTCTTAATTGATTCAAGTTGTTAGTGTGTATTGGTAGATTTTGATAGTGACTAGTCTTATCAGCGTATTTAGTGCTATTACATAATAATGTAGAAATCATAGAAATAGTCTAGAAGGAAGCATGATTTAACGTGTTATATCAGCTGAAGTGGCTATTCTATATTTTCACTATTTTAAGGAAAACTATCATTGCCACTTTAGCGAATCAATGGCTGGTAATTCATGGATTGAGCCAGATTTGCTAAAATGGCATGTAGTTATTATGTTCTACTATCCACACTCATAACTAATCTTATTTTTTTATTTTATTTTTCAACATGGGATGCTTTGATTTTTGTTTCCTTTTTTTTACTAACCATATATAGCCTGGCTCGACTTTACAAGATGAGTTGAATGAGGTATCTTAATGTCTATAATTAACAATCAATTTATTCTAGATCATACTACCTATCTTCTCAGTTCTTTCTGTAATTCATTCTCATCTTGTTATCCTGTAGAATGCCTGCATGTGTCTTTTCTGTATCAATAGTGATCTTGGTCAAACATCAAGCAGAAAAAGTTACAGAAAAACATAAAATTCCCATATTTTAGATTCTTGATAATTTCAATATTTTATTATTGATATCACAAGATTACTCAGCATCTAAAACTAAGACATTCAACAGGATGGTTCTCTAACTTTTTCTCTTTCTGTGTATGTGTGAAATGAAAGTATTTCTATTGTCATAGCAACTATTTATGAATTTTATGATTGATGTCGTTAGTTGTTTTAATGTCTTTATATCAGTGATGTGACCTTAAGTCTGTTTATAATTTAAGTATGCTACATTTCATAAAACCATAAATGTTTTTTATGTGAAATATTCATAAACATTATATAAATTTCAAATAACATTTGAAAACAAGTCGGCTTATAACACTACCTATAGTGGATGGATACCATTGTTCATATATCCCCAGTCAGTATGGCTTTTGACTCATCACAACAGTTTTCCTGCTACCTGGCAAAGGAATGTCTTACTCCAAATTCAAAATATACATCTGCTTGTTTGAGTCTTTTTATAAGTTTTTTGGAACTATCTTAAGCATAAATTGGATATAATTGGGGAAAAGACACAGGGACTCATGGGTAATGGGCTTACCAAACGGCTTTTCTAGCATAGGAAAAACATCCTCTTCGAATAGAAATGTAGCACAGGGATCTACTGGGATAATTGGTTTAATAAATTTCCATATAAAATTAAAATGTTCATGTCTATGTGAAAAAGAGTGGTGAAGAAAATTTTGAAAAATGACATATATATTTATTGCTGTAAACCAATAGAATGTTTGTACTTCTAAGGATGCAATAAAGTTATTATTATTACCGGGTACTAGCTATAATAATACATGTTTATATTTAAAATATTTGATGTTTGCAATTCTTTAATATCTTATTAATTTTTTTTTTTTATTTTGTTGATTTGTAATACCATGTTTTTTTGAAATTTTTTTTTTTTTCTTGATCATAATGTCTACTTTGTTTTAATTCATGTACAAATATATATTAATTTGTGCAGTAGTACAGCAAAATAGGCGTGGCATGCTGGTCAGAATACTGTTAATTGCATACAAACAGTATTCTAAATTTGTTTTTTGATTTCTCTCATCAGGCAACCAAAGGTGAGTCTCAACCTAGCCCTAAAAAGTCTATGCTGGTCAAGCAGGGTTCTGTTATGTCTGACTATATCACTCAATCATCTCCAAAAAGGTGAAGTATAAATTAACTGTCTTGTTTAACTTTTAAGTTTAGATTGTTGGTCATAGAATTTTAACATTTACCACATTTATTAGTCCTCGTTCGGACGAAGTCCGAAAACGGGGACTTATAATTCGGTCTCCGTCCGTGTGTCCGTCCAGAGTCATATCTCAGAATCCCTTGGACCGATTTCGTTCATTCTTTGCATGTGCCTAGTACTTTATGTGGGACATATGCACATGCAGTGGTTCAGCGATTCCATTCAAAATGGCCGACTGGCAGCCATCTTGTTTTTTGAAAATAGTGTATTTTGGACATGCTTTGGCAGTTTTCTTTCAAACTTGGTACATAGATTATACATGTTAGGATACATGTCCATGACGATTTATTTCACAATTGGATCAAAGATGGCCGACTGGCAGCCATCTTGTTTTTTGAAAATGTCATATTTTGGACATGCTTTGTCAGTTTTCATTCAAATTTAGTACATAGATCATACATGTTAGGATACATGTCCCCGGTCGTCCGTGAGTTCCTGAGTCTGTCCGTCCGTCCGTCCGTGTGTTCGTCTGTCCGTCCATCAGTCTGTCCAGAGTCATATTTCAGAATCCTGTGGACCGATCCCGTTCATTCTTTGCATGTGCCTAGTACCTTATGTGGGACATATGCACATGCAGTGGTTTAGCGATTCGATTCAAGATGGCCGACTAGCAGCCATCTTGTTTTTTGAAAATGTTGTATTTTGGACATGCTTTGTCAGTTGTCATTCAAACTTGGTACATAGATTATACATGTTAGGATACATGTTCATGACGATTTATTTCGCAATTGGATCAAAGATGGTCAACTGGCAGGCATCTTGTTTTTTGTTTTTTTTATGCGGTATCTCTTTATGCGTGTTCTGTCAGTTTTCATTCAAATTTGGCACATACATGTACTTGATGCATGTCCATGACAATTTGTTTCAAATCTGGTC